CAACGGAAGTGGGAAACCTGTTGCTCTCCGTAATACTTATACTTGCACAATAAACATGGTGATAGGGCTAATAGGAATGTAGTCTAACAATACCTGAGCAGGTATTCAGAATTATATATGTAAATATGCACATCATAAGGCTCCCCCCCCAAAAAAATGTTATGTGTGCACCCAGGCCTCACAGAATGATGTTACTATACAATTAAATAGTATAGTAATAATTTAATTTATGCCCTTATTGTATGTTGAGGTTGCTGACTTTTGAAAATGGAGGGATTGGAGAAGAATGAATAAAAAAATGTGAGCTTAAATAACTGTTTCCAAGTTCTGTGTGCAAAAAGAAGTCTGAGTCATTCATTCCTTGCCTTTCCAATAAATTTGCCTTCCAATAATCAAGAACATATTTGAGAAGGAGCAGGGTACTTCTCTTGAGCTTACGTTTAGCCTGAAAATATTACCAACAGAATGTATCACTGTAAAGATTTCTTAGAATGTCTGGGCTTTTAGTAACAAAGATTATGTGAAGTTCTTTTGATATAAAATAAAAGCATAAATGCAGCAAAGAGCCATCATGCTTTGGAAGCCAACTTTTTGTCCTCTTTAAAATGTGCCTTGAATTCCTTCCAGAATACAAAAACTTCTTCACTTTGAGCCTTTGGAAGAAATCATTGCAGAAATGCTGAATGGTAAATTATAGAAGGCTTGCTTCTAATTTATGACATCTTTGCTTTCCAAGATAACTTTCATTTGTTGAAATTTAGTACAGGGAGATAAAAATGGCTAAATATATAGGATGAGCTTCAAAGCACTACTTAAAATACTGTACTCTGAATCCACCCCAACCCTTCATCATATGAAATGGAGATACATGCCCCCAAATAGGCTGCATGGATCAAATTCACATTGCTCAAGAAACCAGATTTTGGCAGCATTATCTAAAGAGGAAATGCAAACCATGTTTGCATCCTGGCTTTGAATGCTTCCAGTTTTTCTAATGTTTGTATTGGCTCTTAATTATGTTAAGCCATGTCACTTTATTACAGTTCTAAAAGTGACAATAACCTTGCATGAACTCTGGGAGAATCAATGCATTATTTGTAATGGAAGTTTGTTTATTTATTTATGTCAATTGCTTACAAAATAATAGGTATAAGTAAAAACATAGTTATGAATGCATGGATACATATAAGAAAAATAAAAATATAAAAGAAACAATAGGACAGGGACGGTAGGTGCGCTTATGCACGCCCCCTACAGACCTCTTAGGAAAGTGGTGAGGTCAATAGTAGACAGTCTAAGGTTAAAGCTTTGGGGGTTTGGGGAGGAAAGTTAGGGTTTCAAAGGGACCAAGTTAGTTCCATTTCATTAGATGGACTGCACTAGGGAGCAAGTCAGAACCAAATAGAAAAGACTCAGTCTGCAATATCTTAAAATACAAGAACTTGCTCTTGCTAGTAATCCAGTAGAATTCTAGAGTTTTTGCTTGGAAGTATGACTACTTGCCTTGTGAAATGGGAAAATAAGCTGTGTGGTGATCCTGTGGGTTAGGAAAGTGACCCGGTATCTTTATATTTTCCTTTTTATTAACTAAGTATATCATGGCTAGCTGTGCTCATTTTTGCACCCATGTTGTAAATAAGTAGTCCCTTCTCTATGGCAGCCATCCTACATGCGTGCAGGCTCTCAGAAATTAAAATATGCTTGTTGGACCCAAAGTTTGCAGATTCCTGTATTTGATTTAGATTTGACCTAGATATGTCAGCTTGCACTGAAAAACAGCTGAAAACCATGTGCAAAACTAGTAACAATTGAACAGCTTTGAGGACCAATCACACCAAGATAGATGAAAGAATTATGACTTAATCCAGAGTAAACAATAGCTAGTTTGGTATCAATGTCACCAAAAAATGTTGCAAACCAACCAACCACTTAAACTATAAATTTTCCAAAAAACAGATTACTTCCACTTAACCTGAAGGTAGGCAAGAATTACAAAATTAAAAGTGCAGAGGAGGTACACACATTGACCCTAAGCTACAACTTCATTGTGACTGTTATTTATCACATTCATTTTTATACTGTCCCGTTGCACTACTTGAAATTATTCATAGTTAATACTTTATAGAAACACTCATCAAATCTTTGAGTCACAAATAATCCCAAATGGACTTCAACTTCTCACACCCACAGGATTGAGATTTTTAAATCAGACAAAAACCATATCCCAAAGTCTGACAAATAAAAATCCTTTCTACACCTTTCCAGAGCTCAACAGTGGGCAGGCATTCCATACCTGAAGGAGCAACTGTTTCCCAATGATGGAGCAGGTACCAAGGTTTAACTCCAGGTTGCCAACTCCTTCGCTTCATGAATAGAACTAGCTGAAGCATTCCTTTCTGGGATGACAAAGAGCATACATTCTGTTTAAAGACAGTCTCAAAAGCCATATATGACTTTAGGTTGGCATTTGTTTAAAGAAGAGCCATAATGAGAACCAGCACAGGCATCTCCGAAGAGGTGTTGTGCTGCAGTAGATCTTCTCGATGAACAGAAATTCACCGTGAAGAAGTCCTGATCTTGTGAATCTTGTGAAGTATAACTTCATTTAGCAGAATAGGATTTCTATTCAGAATGTGCATACTAGGAAATGATGGATGGGGCTGATGGGAGCATATCCAGGTCCTCTTTTACTTCTGATGTCTGTATAATTTATACTTGATAATGTCTATATAAGACAAAGAAGACCGTTAATCCTCAAGGAACAGTTGTTGAATGAAGTATAATTATAACTTTTTTCCGATTGAAACGGAGCCTGAATTTGAGACTTAGAAAGAATTTTGTGACTGGAAGGAAAGAAAGCTTGCCTTGGCAATGACACATGATTTATAGGAAAAATATCTTTTGGGGGATTGGCACTGAATGGTCTGGAAAAAACTGTAGGTTTGAAGGAGGAGTAGATAATGATTTACATGACTCCATAAAAAGTGATTTACCTTATTACAGGAACTGAACTATATACTGTATTTTTATTATTGTTTTTTTGTTCTTTTTAGCTTCCCTCAGTGGACTTCAGTTTAGAGGGTTGAGAGGTATTTGAAATGTCTAAGACAGTGGTCCTCAATCTTTCTGGCTTTGCAGACTGGTGGGAAGAGGGGGGAGAAGAGGTAATGGTTCTGTGTGAGTGGCAGGCACACACACTTGTGCTCATAGCTCCATTTGTGCAATGGTAGGCACTCATGTGTTTGAAGCTCCATTTGTGCAAGCAGCAGGCCCACCACTTGTACAAATGAAGCTGTATGCACAAGTCCGCGGGCCTGCCGTTTTCACGGCTCGGTTCCAAATGGGCCATGACTCAGTACTGGGCTGTGGCCTGAGGGTTGGGGACCACCCAACCCTCCTATGTTTTAGCTACAGGACAGACTTCTCCAGTTGGAAGTAATGCAGGAAAATCTCATGGTGATCTCCCCATTTCCATGAGATACTTAGCATGAAGGCTATAGGCTTTGCTTTTCTACAGCAGCACCTATACTCTGGAAGAGAGTCCTATTAAAACCTAGCTAGGTTATCCTTACAGGTCTACTCTTCTGATATAGTAAAATGGAACTCTTCTGGAGGGCATGTCACAATGCACCTAGTTTGAGTGATTGGTAAGTTTTGTTCTAGGATTTACCTGATTTGTTTTTTAACCTTACTGTGCATATTTTATATTTATATGTTTGTATCCTTGTCAATTGCTCTGATGATTTGCCTCAAATAAATATATAGATCTAAATACTATGAACAAATAAATAAATATGCCAGTTTTAGTTGCACAAGAGTTTATATGCATCTTTTTGGAGTAGTATTAAATAAATTTGTTTATGAATATACAAACAACTCTGAAGACTTTAATGATATAAAAGAAAAAACAAACAAACTTGTTTTATATGGGGCAAAACTGATATGTAGGTGCCAATTAATTTGGAGATGTCCTTTTTGCAATGCATTTCTGCCGGTTTAGATTAAAAGTATTTTTATCCTTGCCTTAATTCTCTAGCACTGAAATTAACTCAAGCTAAGAAACTGTCCATGCGTGAGGTCAAGGTAGGACTAGTAAGACAAAAAATTCTTGAATTGTTTGTGAGCATCTAGAAAGTACACTGTGAAACTAAATAGATACTTATCTTTATGAATATAGTGACATGCATAAGATTGGGACAATGGCACGTACCTAAGATTGGGACATTGTGTAAAGGGCGAAGGGTTTGTCTTTTGTTAATGGTGTTGATGAGAATGGGGACAATTTTATCTGAAGAGAGGGAGGGGAGAAGCCATTTTCAGAGTCAGAAGAAGATGTGTTCCTGGCTGAAGCAAAATCTCTCTACCACCACCTTGTGTCACAAAAGCCAGTTTAACTGAAAAGCCCTGGCCATAAGACATTGTCCTCCAGTGTCCTGAAAATAGCAGATCAGACAATACGAAGCCCAGAGCTATTCCCTTGAATCTTAGTTGCTTCTAAAGGTCTGTAGGGGGCGTGCATAAGCGCACCAATGTGCCTACCGTCCCTGTCCTATTGTTTCTCTTATTCTTCTTTTATTTTTCTTATATGTACCCATTTTATGTATTCACAACTATGTATACACTTATACTTATTATCTTGTAAACAATTGGCAAATCAAATAAATAAATAAAAAATAAATAAATAAATAAATAAAGCTGAAAAAGTAATGCCCTAACCTTGTCGTGTGGCCAGGGCACCTCTGGGTCATAGAAATATTTGTTCTAAAAAAGGAAATACTGAAACACCCAAAGACACGCTTGTACTAAACCGTCAAGCATGCTTGGTTAATACATTGTGTGCATTAAACCTCTGTGATTCTAAGAACTGACTTATAGCTTGGAGATACTGTGACTCAAACAAGCCATCATTAAAACAAAGTGCAGTCCATTGTAGTAGTCATCCCAGAATGTATTGCTTCTTCATTAATTTTGTACTAAATATGTTTATCTCCTTGATTTAGGAGAAATGATGGTCTATCTAGAAGGCAAGACAATGATCCCAAACATACAAGCAAATCTACAGAGAATGGATGAAAAAGAACGAATTGCATGTTTTGGAATGGCCAAGTCGAATTCCAGAGCTAAATCCCATTTAGCTACCTCTAAAGTGTTTTGGAAGGACTTGAAAGAGTAGCTCATGCTAGAAACTCCTCAAATATTACTGTAGTCAAGCAGCTTGTTGTGGAAAAATGGACTGAAATTCCTGCAAAGTGTTGTGTACTGATCACCAATTACAGGAAGTCACAGACAGTCTTGGAATGTGATATGGGCACTTGGTGTCTGGCTCGCAGTTACAACTTCAAAGTGAGCTGTGGTCATGTGATTGTGATTTCACAATGTTGCCTGCCAGCTTCCCATAAGCAAAGTCAATGGGGAAACCTGCAGGAAGATGGAAATTGCAATCATAGAAGATCCTATCTTAACAACTGTACCGTTCTTGTTTAACAATGACAACTGGGACTGCTGGGATGGCTGTCAATCAGCAATGTGCTTACAGGATATTGTGCTTTACAACCACATTGCTTAGCAAAGGAAATTCCAGTTCCAAATACTATTGTGGCTCAAAGTCTACCCGTATGGAACAGAAAGTGAACGTTGTTTTTTTGGAAGGAATAAGCAGGTATTTCTGTTTTTCAAATGTGTTAAATCTAATTTATGGCTAACAATGCTGATCTTGTGTTCCTTTTCGCCACATTTTGAGAATCAATACCATTGTCTTTGAGCAATTGCAGCCAGTTATTACTCTCTTGCAGTTAGGGATGTAAGAGAGGGCACCAAAGCTACATGGTCTGAGGCCTGACATTGCCTGTTGCCAATTGAAGCCATAATGTGATTTAAGACATTGTGGGAACTCAGCCATTGTGACTTATTCAATAAACTACAGTTAAGCAAACCACAAGTTAGCATGGATTGTAAATCCAGATTGCCTCTGCTGTGCTTGCCATTTCACTTGAGATAGACTCAAATGGCAGACCAAGAGAGATTGAATAGAACGATATTATATGTTCTGTTCCAAACATTTAAATGTAATTAACTAAATCCAGTTTTAGTTAAATGTAATTAACTAAACCCTGGAAACCCAATGCCTCATATTGCTTAACACCTTTGTTTATTAGGCAGTTATTTGATGCCGAAGCCAAATATTTTGGGCCAGCAGAATTGCACAGCTTTCTGCAAGGAATATCATGCAGAAATGTTTATTTCCTATTTTATTTGGTCAATAATGTATCATGGAAGATCTATTTAAATGTGAAATACTACGTGAAGATGAGCCATAACAATAAAGCAGACATAGTTCCTAATAGTCTCTCTATAAAGCAAGATATTCTAACTGCTATTGATTTTTTTCTATCCAACAAACTGCAGGTATTTATGACTGAAGTATTGATTTTCAAGATTTAACTACAAATGATCAAATCAAGAGCACTGCCCTTGTATTTTAAAATTTTTTAGGACACTTTGAGATCCAAGCTTCCAGCAGAGACAAATGTGAAATTAGATAGTAGGGAAAACAAATGTTGCTACTAAACTTCAGCCTAAAACCTGCACATTAAATTTAACATACAGGAATGGTGCTTCCTTGTCAAAGAACAACCCTATATTTTGGATGGCTTTATATTTTTCCCCACTTCAAACAAAAGTTTAGTATATTCTATAGTTGATGGTACTAAAGATCTTTTGGGCATAGCTTAAATCACCCTTCCTGTTGTTCAGTGGATCACAAGCTTAATAATTCCTGGCAAGCAATAAGAGGAGAGAACAACATCTTGGAAGACTAGTTAAGAGGCATTTTAAAATTGCAGTTATATGTAGTGGTACATTACAGTAGCAGAGCCATGTACTTTAGCTTTTTGCATGTTTCTAACACTTCATCTTTTTTTTTCTTTTGATATACTGTTAGGATAGTCTGGATCAATCCACATATCATGATTAATTGTGATTTGTTTTCTTAAATAAGCTATAATTTTGCATCATCATGGTAAGTATAATCATGGTAAGTATAATTTAGAGTGATAATTAAACCTATCCATAGTATTAATGTTTAGATTATGTTTTAACAAGATCAGAATGTGCAATGTTTCTTGCTTACTCCATATGCTTATTTCATTTTAGCAATTACCTCTGCCCATTGGATCATCATTTCAGAAAATGCCCTTACCTGAGCAAAGAAACAGAAGGAACATCGGCCGGAAGAAATCATTGGGAGTGGGAGCAACTTCCTGTTGGTTTCCCCATTACATTTCTGTGTGGGAAGCCGGAAGTGAGCATTGGAAACCTTGCTCTCAGGGGTTGTGTCTCTGTGTGTGTGTGCGCGTGTGTGTGTATGTGTGTGGTTCTGGATGAGTATGCAGGGGTGAACAAGAGGTGTTGTGCATTTGGGATCAATGTGTGGGTCTGATCAAAAGATGTCACACGTGTTGGGAAGGGAGCACAGGTTGGTGGCATGGATTAACAAATGAGCATGGGGTCATGGGGGTATGTACGAGTTGTGTGAGTTGGGGAGATTGTGTGCAGATTAGGGAAGGTGCTTTGGGTGAAGTTGGAGAAGATGGGAGTGCAAGTTGGGATGGGTATGTGTGGGTCCTCAAGGGATGCCCCACGGGCCAAGGAAGGCATGCAGGAAGATAGCACAAGTTGGAGAGAGTGAGGAGCATGGACTGGGAAATGCACAAGGCTGCCTCCCTTCCTCCCTCCCACCTTCCTTCCTCCCTTCCACTCCCTTCCCTTCCTCTCTCAGATCTGCTAAGAGTACATTCACATGAAGTTTGGGTGGCTTACTTCTGAAATGTCTGTTTTCTTTCTTTCTAAAGTGGCAAGATTAGGGATATTATTGGGAATGACCTTCACTTAACATTATAATTCTTAATGCAAAAGCATAGAAGCATAATATATTTTGGCATTTAGCCTTGTAATTACAAGGTTCTGTGCTGGTTATGAAACAAATCCAAATAGGGTGAGAACCGGTTTGTGGATGGGAAGCTACCAAGAAATCACAGAACTGTAAATGAGTCCAGGAAGTTAAAACAACATGCTGGAAAAAAGGCACTGACAAACTGTTCCTATGTTGTTGTCAAAAAAGCCTGAGAGCTTGATTCAGGGGATTTTTACTTGTTTCTATATCTATCAATAAACTGTTTTTGAGATTAGAATAAGAACTGAAAAGCTGTTTTTAGAAAAGATTTTTTTATAAATAATATTTTCATAATCAAAACCATATTGCAATTTTTAGGCATTTGGTTCCAATATGGAGATTGTGGAAATGCTTTTTTTTATGAAAAGGAACAATTGTTGCCGTGTGTGTGTGTGTGTGTGTGTGTGTGTGTGTGTGTGTACCCTCCCCCTTGCTGATGCTTTATTTAAACTACATTTGTATATCAGGGATTGCATGACCTCTACAGATGACATACGCTAAACAAATAATTATCCTTGGGTCTCCCTTCCCCCATTCCCTTTTTCTCAAATGCCTTATAGATAGAGTAGTTCTCTCCAAAACCATTAAGAGGAGCTTAGGTATAAATGCAAATAATTTTAAATGGTAATATTTAGAAAAGCAATTGTAAATCCACTTTGCCAGGATCAGTTTGACAAATATAGAAAACAAGAAAACAAAGATTTGATCTGTGTATTATTTGTACTATTTGAAGACCATCCAAGAAATGATATTCAAAAAATGCCAATATAATGAACAGCTTGCCTTGCAAATTGATTTTTCCATAATTCATACAAATTCTTTTTGCCCAGTTATAGAGCAGGCTGACTTGTTTTATTACCATACATGTGACATGTATTACAAACACTTGAATATTAATTCTAATGCATGTATCACATTCATAATATTTCATGCCTTTTTAAATATTTATTTGGTAGAACAAATCAAAGGAAAATACCCGAAATATTGGAAGGGAGAAGCACTGATACACATTTACATATATCTAGCTTGATTTTGTAAGCTGTTGACATTGATATTATCAAACCCATATCTGTCACTTATTAGCTGTCACATGTTTTAGATAGAGGTAGGGGCATTAGAAGACTTAAGTTTTAGCTTTTCTCAAGTTTAGGATTCTTCAGGTCATGCTAAATCTGAATTATTATTATTATTATTATTATTATTATTATTATTATTATTATTAT